CCTTGTGACCACCATCGACGAGACCCCCACAGCACTGGGCCACTCACTTCGCCGTGCTATTCAGACGCAAGTTGCCGAGGCTCTCCCTTCGCCCACGTCCCCAATCAGCAGGTACTGCACCGCTGACTTATGCAGAAGCCGTCCACCGACCTCCTGCTCAACCTCCGCTCCCTTCATACAGTCCAGCCACCAACTACTACAGGTCGCCTCTTTCAGTTTATCCGGCAAATCAACCCTTCTCGCCACCTCGAGCCTCTATTAACTCTTGGCGTACTCCGGATAACCGGCCAGTCTGCTACAACTGCGGTATTCCAGGGCACGTCGCGCGCTACTGTCGTCGCCGTTGATTCTATTTTAACGAGGCTCAACATTCAGGCAACGTTCTTCGGCAACCAGAATCACATGTTACACCTGATGCACCTGACCCCCGCCCACGTCAACCGGACTTCAGCCCATGTCAATCTCGTACACCCCGTCTTCGGTCTCCTTCTCCCATGCTTCGCCGTTCCAACCACTGCCAGGAAGAAAACTAACAGTTGCAGTTCCCGAGGCAAGAACTGCGCCACCGACGAAATTTCCAAGGCCTCATATTTCGCCCCCTAACGAGGTTGCCGTGTTTGTGGACGGTTTTGCCACGACTGCTCTTGTCGAAACAGGTGCCGCTATTTGTGTAATCAGTGAAGTCTTATGCCGCAAACTGAACAAAGTGACGACTCCACTTGTTGATACTTCCTTACGCACAGCGAGTTTGCAGCACGCCCAGCCTTCTGCCAGATGCACTGCTCGTGTTGTGATTCAAGGGGTGCTGTACATAGTTGAATTTGTCGTCCTTCGACATGCGTCTCATGAAATCATCCTGGGATGGAACTTTCCGCTAATCATGCAATTGTCGACTGCGCCCGTGCACAACTCGTTCTGTTTCCGTTCAGCACGACATTCACGATCTCTCTTGCTCACCTAAAAAGGTGACCGTCACCCCTGACGTCGTCATCTCTGCTTTTTCGGTCGCTGTGGTCTCTATTTCTTGCAACTCCGTCGCAACTGCCCTTTTTATACCGTCTCAAGAATGTGCTCGTCACCGTAGCCTTGTCGTCCCGTTTGCCGTCATTACGCTTGCCGATGGTTCCAGAGAAGTGTGCGTGTGCAATCTGTTCCCTTGTCCCGCTACCCTAATACATGGCGTATGTATTGGGCATCTTGACGCTTATGATGCCATCTTTCCTTTCGATGCCCCTTCCGATACGACGCCGATGTCCGTGGATGCTGTCACGGCTGCCACACACCCTCACTACCTGACGAAAATGTTCTGTCGCGCGGCGTTGATACCAGGCTTACGCAAGGCCAGCGCAATCAGCTCATTCAACTAGTTGACCGTTTCCTCGCCTCCTTCGACCACGGACAACCTCACTTGGCATGCACGTCAGTTGTCGCTCACAATATCGACACCGGTCATCATAATCAACTTCGTAAGCGCCCCTACCGCGTCTCGCATGCTGAGCGTGACGTCATCACTCAACACGTCGACGAGATGCTCCAACGTGGTGTCATTCAACACTCGCACAGTCCTTGCGCTTCGCCAGTGGTCCTCGTGCGGAAAAAAGATGGCTTTATGAGGTTTTGCGTGGATAATCGGCGACTAAACAAGATCACACGCAAGGATGTTTATACCCTGCCACGCATTGATGACGCCCTGGATTGCCTTGAAAGTGCGGAGTTTTTCTCTTCACTAGATCTGCGCTCTGGATATTGGCAAGAGCCAATGGCCGAACCACACCGTCAAAAAACGGCGTTTGTGACCTCGGACGGCCTATATGAATTTAATGTCATGCCCTTCAATCTTTGCAATGCGCCAGCGACTTTTGAAAGGATGATGGATAGTGTCCTCAGGGAACTTAAATGGCACATCTGTCTTTGCTATTTAGGTGACATAGTTGTCTTCTCTGCGAATTTCGAAACTCATCTTTCCCGTGTGGAACAAGTTCTCCAGTGCCTTACAGCAGCCGGGTTGCAACTGAACTTCAAAAAATGTCGTTTTGGCGTCCGCGAACTCACAATTTTCGGCCACGTATCGCGGGACCCTGCCAAACTGCGTGTCCTTGCCGAGTACCTCAAGCCTACCACTCTAAAGGAGCTCTGTAGCTTCGTAGACTTGTGCTCGTATTTTCGGCGTTTCATCCGCAATTTTGCTTTTATAATCGCCCCCCCCCCTAACTGAGCTTCTTTCCAGTAGCGCGGACCTCTCGCGATGGAATTTTTATTGCGATGTCGCATTCACGACGCTGCACCGGCTACTCACGTCCCCACCAGTTCTCCTCCCTTTCGATCCCGATGCACCTACTGAAGTTCACACGTATGCTAGCGTTGTCCGCCTCGGTGCCATTCTTGCTCGACGCAAGGATGGCTGCAAAAAGTACGTTGTCGCCTATGCCAGCCGTACCCTAATGACGGTAGAGTCCAACTATTCCGTCACGGAAAAGGAGTGCTTGGCTATCATTTGAGCTATTGGAAAATTTCGCACTTACCTTTACGGACGCCAGGTTGATGTCACAGATCACGATGCCTTATGCTGGCTAGTGTCCATGAGAGATCCTACTGGCCGTCTCGCTCGTTGGTCTTTACGCCTTCAGGAATACGACATTCGTGTTGTTTATCGCTCAGGACGCAGACATTCAGACGCCGATGCCCTATCCCGTTCTCCGCTGCCTCCTGATCTTTCCTGATTACCAACTCCCATCTGCGACTCTTCATCGCTGATCATCACCGACATGCCAGCCGAGCAGCGCAAGGATCCCTGGATCAATTCTCTGCTCGAATTCCTCTCTCACAGTTCGGTATAGAATTGACTTCACGGTCCCTCTCTCGTCAAGCAAGACACTTTGCTGTCAGTGAAGGCTTGTTGCATCGCCGAAATTACGAGACGGATGGCCGTAGGTGGCACTTTGTCATCCCCCGTCATTTGCGCTTGGACATCTGCGCTGGCTTTCACGCTGACCCCCAGTGTGGCCACGCTGAAGTATTCAAGACCTATTTTCGCCTTCGTCTAAGATACTACTGGCGCGGCACGTATCGGCACGTTCGCCGGTACGTTCGGTCATGTGCCACGTGTCAACGCCGCAAGACGCCTTCTCACAGCACTACTGGCCCTTTGCAACCATTAACCTGTCAAACGAGACCATTCGACCGCGTCGGAATTGATATTTATCTTCCTCTACCCATCACTCTTCGAGGCAACCGGTGGATTATTGTCGCCGTCAGTCAAAAGACACGCTATGCTGAAACATCTGCGCTGCCTGCTACCACTGCGAAAGATGTTGCGTCCTTTCTTCTTCACCATCTGATTCTGTGGCACGGTGCACCTCATGAATTACTGAGTGACCGTGGACGCATGTTTCTCTCGAACGCCGTTGACGAGCTGTTCAAGGAATGTCGCACCGTCCATCGCAAAACCTCGGCATACCATCCTAATACCAATGGCATGACAGAACGCTTTAATCACACCCTTGCAGACATGCTTGCCATGTACGCGTCTGACACTAAGTGGGACCAAGTGTTCCCTTTTGTAACGTACGTGTACAACTCTGCGCCACAAACAACCACCGGCTTCTCTCATTTCTTCCTCCTGTACGGACGTAAACCATCATGCTCCATGGACACCATGGAGCATGATGGTGTCCATGGAGCATGACGTTTCTGTCATGCTCTATATTGTCCACACCGTACAGACCTGACGTTTCCGAAGCGACGCTCGTTTCCGAAGCAGCTGCTTATGCCGAAGACTGTCGTCAATTCGCTCGCTCGTTAACTGCGCAAGACCAATGGCGCCAGAAAACTGACCACGATGCTTCTGCATCTAGTGCCCACTATAACCCAGGAATGTTGGCTTGGCTCTGGGTCCCGTTTACCCCTCCCGGTCTTTCCCCAAAGCTTTCGTCGAAATACCACGGCACCTACCGTGTGTTGCGACAAACATCTCCCGTCAACTATGAAGTTGAGCCCATTAATCCACCTTCGGACCACCGCTGCCGTGGGCGAGAAATGGTTCACGTATCACGCCTCGAACCATGCTATGACACCCCTGTCGTGTCCTTTTCCTAGGTCGCAAGGCTGGCTCCTTTCTGTACGGGGAGTACTCGTACCGACGCATAGTGGCGCAAGCTCTGTGCCAGCGTGAAAGAAGACGTTGACGTCCGTGTGTGGCTCGTGCTTGCCGGGTTTTTGTCTGTACCAGCTTGTTGTGGCTAACGCTTCTTCATTAATAACAAGTGTTTTTACGTGAACTCGCTTGTTGATTGATATGTGGGATTTAACGTCCCAAAACCACTATATGATTATGAGAGACGCCGTAGTGGAAGGCTCGGGAAATTTAGACCACCTGGGGTTCTTTAACGTGCACCCAAATCTGAGCACACGGGCCTACAACATTTCCGCCTCCATCGGAAATGCAGCCGCCGCAGCCGGGATTTGAACCCGCGCCCTGCGGGTCAGCAGCCGAGTACCTTAGCCACTAGACCACCACGGCGGGGCGTGAACTCGCTTGTTGATATATATATATATATATGGTGGGGTGAAATTCAATGGATCCGGTGGAAAATGCGGTAGAAAAAGAGGTCGACAAACGTGTGAAAAAACACTTGTTTTACTAACGTTTCGGCAGGTGGGCCTGCCTTTTTACTCCGACGAAGGCAGGCCCACCTGCCGAAACGTTAGTAAAACTAGTGTTTTTTCGCACGTTTTTCGACCTCGATATATATATATATATATACATATATATATATACATATATATATATATATATATATATATATATATATATATATATATATATATATATATATATAGATAGATAGATAGATAGATAGATAGATAGATAGATAGATAGATAGATAGATAGATAGATAGATAGATAGATAGATAGGAACCGTGTAGGTGGAAGAGTGTTCGACCACCAAAGAAGAAATGTAGGCTCATCAACTTCTATCACTATTCCTTTTCAGAATATATCTTTTCACTACGTGGCAAATGGGTGCGATGTCAAGGATAATCGGACAGTGTTGCTTCTGTTGCATGGGTTCCTTGATTTTTGGTATATTTGGAACAGGTTGACACCGGAACTTGGCAAAGATTTCTGGTACGCATTACCTCGTTTAAATTTAAATGTAAATACTGCACTACAAAACACAAATATTCCCAAATAAGTGAGAAATACCGTGGCGAGTTATGCACTACAAATATCTCACATGCATACAAAAATACTTCTGCCTATGCTGCACTTATACTGTGTAAACCTTTTCAGCAATCACTTGATCATTCTGTTTTTCCAAAAGTGTGAACAATTGGGAAGGTTATTTCAATTCACAAATCTGGCAGCAAAACATCTGTTAACTATCACCCCATTTCTTTAGCTAGCACACGTTGTAAAATGTTCGAGCACATTATATTCATCAACCTCGTCAGTTTTCTTGAATCAAACTCATCCTTCTCTTCAGCACAACATCGGTTTAGAAAACATTATTCATTTTAAACTCAACTCAGATCATTTACTGAAGCTCTACATCAAGTTCTATACCGATCATCAAACATCTATTGCCTATTTTCAGCTTTTCGTAAGACATTTAAAAAGGTACATCGTAAATTACTGCTGCTTCAAATTAAACAATCTTAATATTGATAATAATTTACTGAAATGGAATAAATGTTTTCTGCCAAACCACTCACAACTTGTTTCCTTTGATGGCTCTAACTCCGCATTTAGAGATGTATACTCAGGCGTTCCTCAAGTCTCAGTTCTTTGACCTTTATTATTTTTAATCTACATTATTCACCTTCCTCCTATTGTAAACTCTAACATTCTTCTATTCGCGGACTACTGTGTCATCTTATGGAAGCGAATACCAACGATTTTTCCCTCCTCCACTTTGACCTTAGTGCAGTTGCTAATTGGTGTGACGGATAGTTAATGCAGCCAAATATTAATGAATGTAAAGTCATGCGCGTTTCTAGGAAACCTTCCTGGCCACCACCTTATTACATTGATAGCATTACTTTAGAATCACTGACTTTAAATAAATACCTCGGCGTGTACATTACAGCAAACCTCAACTGGTCTACTCATATTGCGCACCTAATTAACAAAGCTAATCAGATGTTAGGTTACCTTCATGCAAATTTTTACCATGTTCCTCCTTTCTTGAAAATCCTCCTCTATAAAACACTAATTCGATCGAAACTGAATCGTGCTACACCGGTCTGGGATCCCACCCAAGCTAACCTAATTTCCGCTCTAGGGATGGTTCAGAATAACTCCCCACGTTGCATTCGTACTAAATGCAGCCACACCGCCAGTAAAACTTCTATGAAATCAGACTTTTCCCTGCCGTCGATGTCGTCGCGCAGAAAAGTGTCATGCATTGACTTGTTCCATAAAATGTATCATTATCCTGCACAACGCAATCGCCTCATCCCTGAGCCATCTAATCTATCTCGTCACACAGACCATCGTCATTAAGTCAGACTCACTTCATCCAATAGTGCGCAATTTTATCATTCATTCGTGCCATTAATCTCTTGTTACTGTAATGGCCTTGCCGCGGACGTTGTTGGCATTTTTCTTCATGAACAGTTCCGTAATTCCGTAGCTATTATTGTATACTCAGGCTTTTTCTGAAATCACTATAGGTTCACATTTTCATCCTTTGTAACATATGCGTTTTTTTAATTTTCTTGTTTTATTGTATTTTTTGTTTCTTTTTTCGTTTTTTCTTGATTTTTTTGTGTCAAAATGTTGCTAAAACTCCCCCTGCCTAATGCCTCTGGCCCTGAGGGGTATAATAAAATGAAATGCAATCTGCACATATCTGTGTTAGTCGCGGTGATAGTTTTTGTGTTAAACAGAATTCAACAATAATGACTACCATGTACACGACCTTGCATTTTGTTGAGTGCATAAGCTGCTGTGCACGCAGCTAACGCCTATTGCAAAAATAATAACCCTCATAACAGACTGTAGCCAATTGCTTGCAAGAACGATCATTGAAGCGGTACAGCTTTTGTTTCTAATATCTAAATGAACACAATTTTTTTCGTCAACTGGCTCATCCGTAATAAAACAAAATACAAAGTAAAGTCTTACGGCTTCCATGAGTGGAGCAATATAGTAACCAACCATTTATCATATACAACGGCACCCCGAACATCTCCGGCATTTGCACCTACTGTGCTAAGATAAATTGTGTTTTTTTGGCATGGATAATAACTATGTAGGGCTTTCAAGTTATTTCACGGAGTTGATGCAACACAGAAAATGTCCTGTAACTCAGCGTCCAGATGCTGCACGTACGATTGCAGCTGTGGTTGGCGTATTCTTAGGGGGGTTGTTGCTTGTGATGCTTTGCCAGCAGTTTTCTGATTTAGTTCTGCCAGTTTTAGGTGTGCACGAATTCGATTAGTGTTATTAAACTTGAAACGGTTCAAACGTCACATGAATGCGTTAAAAGTGGTCAAATTACTATGCTCAAGAAAGTCGTGTAGAGTGTTGCCGCACCGCGTGCTCAGTGAGACCACGCATATTCATGAATCAGGTGGGTGTCGTTACTAATTTTTACTCTATGCTTCGCTTTAACAGCGCCTTGCAAAGTGTGTGGACAGCTAACAGCACGACTTTTATGTGCTAGCCTGGATTTCAGGCTTGAAATACCTTGAAAGTTCGGCTTGTCAGCTTCTCCTGTCATGGCGGTATGCCAAGTAGTCATGGCCCATCCTAAGCTTAACTTCACTTAATGGCGTCATCCTATTATGGCATCGTAGCTGCACAAGGTCGACCGAATTCGTGTCGTAATTTAGACGTTCTCACGAGGTGGCGAACCATCTCATTATACCTCGGCTTGTAGGCGTCTAATGTCATGGTGTGCCATATAGTTGAGGTCCATCATAAAAACGGGAATAAACGCCACGAAAATTGGGCAAAACCTACTGCTCACCTCTGGAACCCTGAAGATCAAGGCAGCAGCAGTTAGCCCAACAAATAGTCGATCACATTAGTACACCCTCCTCCTTCGGGAACTAAAACCAGCCACTAGGAAGAAGGAGAACGTGAAGAACAGGAACACTGCATGTTTCATGTTAGTGAATCTAAAGCAAGCTTCCCTACATTGGTCACTTCTACCCGGTAAACTTTTTTTCTGGCATACTTGGTATAAAACCGCCAGTCCTAAACCGCCGCACTGCACACTCACTGCGTAAGCTGGAGAGCAGGCCTTCTTAGTTCTGTTTAAAACTGCGTTCCCGCACCTACTGGAAATACAGGGTCGAGAATATTTTAACTTGGGGCGATTGCGTAAATTTTGTCGTCATAGTACAACAAAGCGACAGCGAAAGAAAAGTTAATTTCTACTACCCCATATTCGGGCAATGCACAGTTTGCTTATACAGCCGGACTTTGTCAGATAGTTATCCTCTCTAGGTGTGGATAGCCGTGGCGGTAATAGTGTCGTTGTTCAAACTGCTACTAAAGGAACTCTCCGATTTCCCGGTGAGATGCCTTTTAGAGCCATTCCATCACTACTTGTTCATTTAGTATTTGTGACTTTCTGCAGCGTGGTTGCACCGGACTTACGGGGTTATGGCAACACGACAAGGCCAAATGACACGGCCGATTATCTGATGAAGTATTTAATCGAAGACGTGAAAGGGCTTGTGGAAGAGTTCAGTAAGTATTCGTCACAAAATTTAATTACACAGGTGTCGATGCTGTGAACAAAATCACCATGCTAAGCTGTTATTTAAACGTCTTGAAGTGACAAACTACTAGAGTTGATTGATTGATTTGTGGGGTTTAACGTCCCAAAACCACCATTTGATTATGAGAGACGCCGTAGTGGAGGACTCCGGAAAATTTTTGACCACCTGGGGTTCTTTAACGTGCACCCAAATCTGAGTACACGGGCCTACAACATTTCCGCCTCCATCGGAAATGCAGCCGCCACAGCCGGGATTCGAACCCGCGACCTGAAAACTACTAGATTGAAAATGATAACTTTTTCTGGGGCCATGCGGCGTACATCAATTATTCATGCCTCATACATCAGCAGATTGCTACAACCTAGCCGAGGACATAGTAACTCTTAGCAATAACCACCTTTTCGAACTAGCACTACCTAATTTTGTATATTTAATAAATGTACTATCTTTTGCAATAATACGTATTTTGTTTATATTGTATTGGGGTCATTGTCCATACACCCGGCTAACATTGTATGATGAGGAGTTCCTTTTTGTTGACTAAGTAATTTTCATGTATATTTTACTCCTTGTCTACTTGTAACCACTCCCTCTATAATGTCATATGGCGTCGAGGGGGAATGAAACGAAATGAAACTTTTTGTCGGCTTCTGCCTAGAATTACGGCAACTTAATCAATTTAGTTCCAAGTGTTTCTATATTGAAATGCTCATTATGCAGGCTATTTCACGTAACATGGACCAAACGTTTAGATAAAAGTGGTTGACAGCGACTGGTTGACACTAATTACGTACTATTTGCCGTCATGTGGGTTCCTTAGGATAATTTATAGCTCGAATAATCAGTTCAATGACGAACTTAGGTTCCGTGAAATCTTAAATATTACCTTTTTTTTCTTTTTTGCCAAGTGCGTTTGATTTATTTGTAAAGAGCATGCTGAAACGGATGATCCAGTTTTTTGTGACAACGCATTTGCGCCTTAGCAATTTTCGTGGCCTGAAAATACCATTAAAATATGAAACTAAAACAACGTCACTGTGCTCGTACCTAATGCAGTGCTTTCAGTCATGCTTCAAGCGAAGCAACCAACGTGCTGACCACGGTGAAATAGTTGCTCGCGCCATCGGCTTCGGAGTGCGTCAGGATTTTTGACGGTAGAATACGACAAGTAAGAGCCATCGTCCCCAATATTATATAGATGCCAGGATGCTATGAGTGACCCTTTCATTTTGGTGATCATGATGATAATTATGATTATTGATGGCCATTCCTCTCGAAGCGCGTGACCGTTTATACTGTGGTTTAGCTGAGTGAAAAAAAAAAGGATTAATAGTAAATCACACACACAACAGCGTAATATGAGTGCCACCAGGGTCCAAAATAGAGCAAAAACCATTTTTGCGCGTGGGTGAGTTGGTTTTAAGCTTTGTACGTATCGAATAAATGCTGTCACAGAAGCAAAATCAGATCACAGAAGAAAAAGTAACATCCGTTCCCATCATGGCTCTCTCCTCCTGACGGCATAATGTCCTTATTTTATCGAATTTTTATTATTTTACACCTTTCTTTTATTTTCTGCCACCAATACTATAACTCTGTTTTACTTATTACGGTCAAGTAGGAATCGCTGAGCTCTCCACTATTGTCCCTCGAACTCAGGGATTCATATCAGCTCGTGGCCAAACATAGAACTCAGTGAATATCTCCTAATCAAATAAGAAAATTCCACACTGTTTGCTTAGCTGTCCCTCCATGTGCTCATCCAAGCAGCGCCATCTTGAGTGAAAGTGTAGAGGCAGAGACGATCAAAAAATGCTGCTTAGCCAAGAACACGACCAACAACTTTGTCAGTCTCTTGCATTCGGTGTTCGCTTAGCTCAAAGGACCACAGAAACGTTGCGTGTAATCGGATAAAACATTGGCGAGCTAGTTAGATTACTGCCATTGTGACTGATGCACGAATACGATTCCCTCATTGATTCGGTACATTTCACCTCCCATAGTTGGGGTCATTTCATTGCGTGCAAGCGTTAATGGCCCTTTTGTGACATCTCTGTCAATGAATGCGTCAAATCTATACTTGTAACGTAAAAAAACCTTCTACCAACGATACACAATTATTTCCATCGCACAATACATGGCGTTCCGTGGCATTTCGACTCCATCGTAATGCGGCCCTCACTGCCTGGATCGAACCCACGAGTTTTGGGTTAACAGGCGACCACCGGAACGGTTGCACTACCAAAGCCGAAACTACATAACCACTGGCGACGCGCAAGTAAACTGGCGTTAGCGCTACGTTAAAGAACTGTAGCTCTAGATTACGATGTCTGTCATAATCTTATAATGACATTGTTACGTAGCAATAACACTCAGTCGCAAGCCACACTACAGCCCACATCGGAACGTCCACTTGTTTAACTTTCTCTGAAAGACATTTTAGGTGATGTTCCACTATGCACTGAGATTGTCAGTGAAATACACCCAACAACACCTGGCGGCAAAACCACCAACCTGGCACGTCTATGGCGCCACAGTACAAGGAGGGTGGTAGTGCTTCAGTCTTTTACGTGGAACATGTCACCTGATTACAGAGGCGACGAGGTCGAGAGATTATCCGGGAGAATTTCTAACGTAACGTCCGTTACTTGTTGAAGCACGCGGTATGAGCCCTTGAAACAAGAAAACAGCTTCCCTGAAAGGCCAACAAGCCGCGTTATGGACTAGAGAAGAACGAGAGAGCCCGCTTAAAATCACTCTTCATGATGTCACTCCTCGTAGCGGTGCTTTTGTGTTTTTTGAGAAGCAGTGAATCTGTTGCAGGCAAGCTGACGGGTGCAGTCAGCGCGAGCAATAGCATCGCGAGCGTATTCAGCGGTCGACTGTGCTGAAGCCGGAAAGAATGCATCATGTAGGAACCTCAGTTCGCGTTCAAACTAAATGTAAAATTATGAATACAAATCTGGATGAGCTTTCCGCAAAATTCACTTATGGCTGTGCAAGTTCCCAGTTACATTGATCGTTCAGCGCGTATTTTGCAAACATGACTCTCAGGGTTCGGTTTAAGCGTTCTTGGAAACCGTTTGTCGGGGAGTGGTAACTGCAGGCACCTACACCAATAATGTTACGTGGCAACAACGCTGTCAGTCGCGAGCTGTACAGCTCACACCCGAACGTCAACTTTATCGGCATTCCGGAGGCCTTTTTGGAGTATTTTCCACAATACAATGAGAATGCCATGTAACACTACGCAACATTGTCGTGGGTTTTAAACATAAAACCCCTTATATTATCATTAGTGCTCCAGAAGTAAAACGTCACTGTAAGTTTAACGCTCGAGCAAACTGTGATTCGAGTGGCAGCAAAGATTCTGATTATAAGAATGTAGAGAACTTGCGACACACGCACCACTTTCCCCTCTTCCACCTTTTTTCAGCCCAAACAGGTCACTCTACTCATCACCATCGCCTATTCTTGGTTCTTCCCATCTGTCACATACCATTGGCTAACTGGCAGAAGTGGTCTTGCTGCGTCATAGTATATATTCATGGAAGTGTGTGGTTTCAGCATACATATAAGTTAGAAAGCACTAGATAGTCGAAGCCACCTTAACTATCGATAATGGCACATCTCATAGATTGTGCCGTTTTTGCACGCGAAACCTATAAACAGTAGCCAAACAAGGTCCTGAAAAAAAAAACGCGAGAGAAGTAATTATTTTGTCGGTAGATGGAAAAGAGCATGCATATGCTGTTTTATATACGCCATACTCTCTGCCTCAGTGCTTCACGCTCTTTTTTCGAAGATGATTTCCAACCAACTTAGCGAGCTATGTTTTGATAACTGTGACCGGCATTTTCGTTAAGGTGTGCCACATCGCTTAGCAGCTGCGTTGTAAAATTCCATATGTTGAAAACGAACGAGTCTTGTTCTCTAAAATTGCAACTCCACTTGTTACATATTTTATTGTCCGATGCACCAGTGTTTCAGTAAAACTCACGGTGCTGCCATCATGCATGAGGCAGGGTGACCCACTAGGGTAAAACAATATCAAGATACCATACAACGATCTTTTGTGTAACACCGCGCAATTCTAAATCAGTGCGTATGCATGCATAATAAGAAACGCATTAATCACTATGCGAAGCACACCAAGAGATCTGGACTACGGCATCGCTTACGGTATTTATACAAGCGCGATGAAGTTTATTTATTTGGTGTTAACGCATGCTGGTGAACAAATACAGATGGCAATCTAACGTGTTATGATAAATGTCGTTTATATTATAAGCCCCCATCAGCCGCACTCGATATAGCAATAATCGTAGTATACTAACGAATAGTTTAATCGGCATAATATTTGACCTTGTATATGCGGCAATCCTTTTCCAATGCACTGCACTGAATCCAACTTCGTTCGACAATAACCATGACTACATATCGATGCAAGATTCGTAAGAATGTGTCAACATTGAATGCACGTGAAATATTTTTAATTCTGCTTGTGTAAGTACCTAATATAGGACATTGATGAATTGAAGGAAGTAACAGTGATATGCATTTTGTATAATACCACCCCTAATATATTAGCCTCCTCACTCTCTCTCTTTCTCCCTGTTTTTTATGTTACAGGCAATAACTCAAGCAGGAAAGTCGTGCTTGTAGGTCATGACTGGGGTGGAATGATGAGCTTCTGCTTCGCCACAGTATATGAAAAATTGATACACAGGATGATTATTATAAATGGCATGCATCCTAGGGCTTTTACAAGGCAGCTGTTTCGCAGTGTAAAGCAAATGAGAATGTCCTGGTAAGCCTCAATACTGCGTCAATCGGTCCTGTATTTAGAAGGAGGTACGCAACAAGGGATCAACTTAGTATAAAATTATTTCATATGAAATTACCTTTGGCAGTGGTTAGAACTATGTCACGAATCACAATAGGCACAAATTATGCTTTGCTCTTTGTAGGACTTTGTAGTAACGACATTACCTGCTCCCATATTATAATGAGAGCAGCGCTGTCTTAAAAAAAAAACACGCGCGCATCAAGAAGTGAATTTCCTGAGCGTGTTTAGTGATAATTTGGAAGAATTGGACAAAATTGTAGTGTTAAATGTGACTAACATTGTCTAGCCGGCCAATTCCACAATGCTATATATCAGGAATATTACGACGCATTTGTAAAAGGGCGGGCTTCTTTTCACACACTTATTTACTGCCACGATTATTTGCCTGAAAGAATATACCAGTAAGTCTGTTGCATGAAATTAAAAAGAATGAAGAAAACCAAAAATCACAATAATTAATTTTCTTTGCCTGGATTGTCTCAGCTGAAGATGTCGCGTGTTATTGCATGAACTTGAGTCAAGGGCATCCCTGTTAAAGCTACGGCTCCGAGATCAAATTATATTTAGGCGTCGCTGCTAGCTACCCATCAAGTCACAATGCACAATATTTGTGTATGTGGTATGTCTCAGTTTCGCTGCATTACTTGCAACGGTATTCTTCATGTTTTGTTAATAACTTATGATTCCATGAGACCATTGTTTAATGCTGTAATGCTGACAACCAAGTAGTTATAAAGCTTCAACAAAACAGCGCATCTTTCCTCAGCACCAAACAATATGTACAAAAAGACTGATGGCTGCTAAAGGTTGAGTGCCTCGAGCTTTATTGCGATACGCAGTATTCAGCTTCCGTACTAGGACAAGGCTAATAAAGGGAGCGGGAAGTCACAGTTCTAGCCACCAGGTCATCAGTGGATAACTGTCGCTGACATTGTACTCATGAAGCATGCGTACGAGACATTTTGCCAGTGGCGCCTGAAGTTGACATGGCACCTTTTTTGTGCCTGGGATATAGTTACATGTTCATGTTACTGAGGTTACTCAAGTGAACTTGCATTTGCCCACACTTGGTACCAACAACAATTCCTCTGGACAAACCCTTGTCACCATTATAGGCCTCTGTATAAAAGAAATTTATCGTGTCACTTCGGTGTGCTACGAGAAATCAACAGGCAAGCGGAAACATGCTTGCACCGTATCACATTAAACTTCGATACACCAACTGCTTTAGGAATAAGGTTGGACTATAAAGGATTCACCAGTGTGTGTCAGTTGTAACGTCACAGAAGAGCTCTATCATACCCACTGTGAGTGCCAGCTACACGAACCAGAAAGACTGTCTCTAAAGGCGGCTTTAAATCTCTAACACTACTCAACGATACATATTCCAAGTCCGTGGCAAAGCAGCTCCAGTGTGTTACGCACAACGAAAGCGCTACTGACTTTCTTGAGGGCCACAAGCCTAAACAAAACTTTCTAAATAGTGCAGTCTACGTGCCTGTTGCTCTGTTTTAAGTGTTTATCACTTTGTACATTGTAATCATCTGCAGATTTGGAACCAATTTTTTCCTTCCCTTTCCCTCGTATGAGGTGGCAAACTATGTACAATTTGGTAAACATCCCCGCGTTTCCTTTGCCTATCTTTCTCTCTCTCTCTCGACCAATTTGAGCCCAATGTGATAATAGCAATAATAGCGAAAGTTGGGCTAGTTTGGGGTTCATGCTTAGGATATAAGAACAGCGCAAAAAAAAAAAATATAGACCAGTACAGAGTGTTGTAGGCCCGTGTGCTCAGATTTGGGTACACGTTAAAGAACCCCAGGTGGTCTAAATTTCCGGAGCCCTCCACTACGGCGTCTCTCATAATCATATAGTGATATTGGGACGTTAAACCCCACATATCAATCAATCAGTACAGAGGAAGAGACGACACGGCGCTGAACTCACAACTAGAGTTTATTGGAAGACACACTCACATATATCATGCAGTCGACCCAGTCACGTGGCAAACCAAAGGCGTCTGCGCAGCATAGAAAGTAAGGTATGAACCATGCCTGATTATCGTGAACAGCAACACATGTGTAACAACCGTGAAGAGGCAAAAAAATAAAAAGCAATAAAAACAAGAATACCCTTTCATATTTGCCAAAAACATGCGCAACGGTCAACAACAAACTAATAATCACTTTAACGTGCAGCGCTGTACCCAGGTACCTAACCTCCTTTTCACCAAGAGCCACAGACGGCTTACTTACACAACTTTCCCCTCCCTTTCACTTAAAAAAGCCTCCATCACTTTCCTAGTGCTTTGGTTTCATTTATTTTATTCTTTCACAATACGTATTGCCTAATTTACATATGTGAAGCGTTAGACAATATATAGCCTGGAAGCCCAAGACAGACATTCAGTACAGCGACGGTCAACTACAATTCTCATGCCGTCCACTTTGTGGATTATTGCTGCATGATGGCCTTCAATGCAGATGTTCCGTCATCGCTTGTCTAATCAGAAGGTGAAAGACGTGCACTGCAGAAAGAAAGCTAAAGGCCAAAGCAGGGCAAAGACCGTGGCGTGCAACCAACCAAAAACACCTAAATGTTCTAACTTGCCCCACGAGCCAACAGAACTTTTTATCTTTTTCTTTGGCTAGCTGATGGCCACAGATGCGCCCCTACAAGATATAATTTTTATACTAATAACACATTCATAACTTCGCCGACAAACGCACAAAAACACTATAGCTAGGATAATCACAAAAGCCATAAGTCATGCACACGAGAAACTAGCAAAATTACTCTACTCTTCCATACATCCCAAAAGCGAAGAAATATCCGCAGATATAAGTCTTCTCAAAGCAAGCATATGAAAAAAAAAGCCCCAACATCACCACCAGGACCAACATTACCGTGACACCATAAAACTGTATTTATACGAAATAAGCAGTAATCAGCTAGCAGTTTACTCCTTTAACATGAGATCGCACAAAGCGCTGGCATATAAGGGAACGCCAACATTTCAAAGGGCAAAGTATCCACTACGCTGTCTCTGGCTTCAATGCAATCTTTGCGATAACAAAACAACACGTATAGAAATAGGAGCCATGTGCTTAGGGCTTTAAAAGCACTATAGCGTGAATGCTTACTACCACGGTTGTTTGTCGAAGTGCAGAGTTTTTTCCGCATATTTGTGCAGTCCATTTTGTGGGACTCTACCATGAGCCTTTCGCGCGAAAGAGACGACTGGTGCGTTTCCTGTTTGCTCGAGCATCGCTTCTCGGCAGCCCGCACACGCTACCGCTCACACACAAAACGTGCAACGGGCTGGGCAATGTTAGCGATTAGGACTTTACACGCGGCTAACCGATGTCGACAGGAAAAATTCTGCGGGAGGGTGAATCTGAATGCCATAGCCGTAAACGTCACTGTAGGCGTCCATTCATGTGAAAAACAATACGGATACGGCAGAATGAGCTCTAAGGCAAGAACACTATTTGCACAAATTTCACCAACTTCGTCTATTTACCCCAAAATCAGTCGACTCATTCAGGCGCACTCAGACTCACATCACCCCATAAGTCAGAATCTGAGTAAGTACGCGTGAGTGATATTTCAGTGAGAACGGCAGCCAAAAACCTTAGCGAGCCTCAGTATGGGAGAATATGGTTGAGAATAATGTTGCTGATTGCGAGCTCTAGCAGTACCTCTGCAAAAAAAAAAGAAAACATATGTCTTCGGTGAGTCTAAGTGACATCAAACTTTTAAATCCGGTTAATCGGATTTATGGTCCTGTCTACTAATCTTTATAATTAATGTGAGCTTTATATTGTCTTACGTTTATTGTCAAGTTCAGCCACACATATCTTACCGCGCTCGCGTTCATACACCACATCAGAATTTATACATCATTTCGATTCATGGGTGGAGAGGGTGTAGTCTTTTTCTCCGCAAACACTGCAGCGACCATTTCTTCAATAAAAGTCATGTGTGCCTCGTAATCGAATGTCCTTACGCGATTGAAACCACCTGTAACTCGTAATTGAAGTTGCGATCGCGAATTGTTGAGTGCCCATTGCATCGGTTATTGGCAATGAAGAGCATTGACATCGTGATGAAAAGAGTAACTTTGCGCTCATATACTCAAGAGTCAACTGTTTCAGGCTAAATCTGGCTCAGGTCAAGCTTGGAGTCTGAGTGAGTTTGACTGAGAGAAATTTTAGTCAGCCTGAGTCGAAGTGAGCCCTAACAGCAAATTATATTTTATGAGCGAGTTCCTAATAATCCGCCGACCTTCTTCCAACTCTAGGACACTTTACAAAACAAATTTCGTCCTGTTTGATGAAGGGCTCGTTTATCGTCTATTTCTAATCTTCCATGGCAATGCAGTAGCTCTACAATTTAGTGAGTATTACCTATAGAAATAACCAATGTGTAGAACAATCCACTTCGAACGAGTACAATAACCATGGGCTAACAGAATTTATTTTATGTGCAGGTACCAGCTTCCCTTCCGACGCCCCGTTGTGCCCGAGAACTACCTGATCTTGAACGATTTGGCTTTCTTAGACAAAGTACACAAGGGCTTCACACAAGAGGAGAAGTATGCACACAAGTACATTTACTCGCAGCCAGGTACTTAGTTTTATTTAAAGACATTTTTGGAAGATTAAGAGCCAGAACAGATTTTGAAATATTACGCGTTTCAATTTTCCGCCCTCTTTTATCGTATTATGTTCAGGACTTCGTTTTCTAGAAATGCTCTGAACACTTAGCAGTGTTCCGTAATGTACAAATACATCCGTGATGCTAGATATTGTGTGAAACTACGCAGCCTTTGAATGCAGTGCTTTAAAAAGGTGCTTTATTGTGCAACCTTAGCGTCAGAACTCGCTCCGAGTTGTCGCACTTATACGGCTGCTTTTATCAAATTTAGCAAGCTGTGCCAATGTCTGTATGTACACATTTGAAAGTTGAAGCACCATGGTAACCATTATTATTATACTCATGATAATCACCTTCATTATTACATCATACCAGTGCATGAGCGGCACTTTACTACTTTAGTAGAATCATTACCGAGCGTTCTGATACGTTCACATTGTGCTTTGCTAAGCACTCTCTTGAATGCAAGGTGGTACTCAAGAAACTACTCGTAAGTAATATAATTACCAATAGTATTCCTGTACAATGCACGGTACGATACACTGCTCCCCAAATGACGTTTATGCACCCACAAACCATCATTTATTTTACGTTCTTTTGTATCTTAGAAAGGCCTTACAGGGCGGTCTGTGCAGTCTACAATTACACTATGCCTTGCAATGCATATTTCTTATTCTTGCATTGAGATCCCACTCGTGTCAATAGGACTAGGGCGCTGCATCTAAGCCCCCCATGTACAAGCTTGAAGCCACGCCAACGACACCATCATCATTCACAACATCACAGCCTCTCGTTATTAGATATGAAATCTCAGAGGCCCGTGCGATGTCAGTGCGCGTTAAAGAACACCAGACGGTCGAAATTTTCTGAGCAGTTCACTATGGCCTTCTCCGTAATCATATTGTGGTTATGGGACTTTAATCCCAGTGGTTATTAGTAATACATTTTGGCTCGACTTAGACGGCTCGACTGTTTTCTGGCGTTCTTTGAAGAGCTTCACAAGTACGTCCTAATAGCATTTAGTCTGTCAAGAAATGTTCCTGTCACGCCCGGCCAAATTTCGGTTGACTGAGACCTATTTTTAATTTTATTCCACACGCAGGAGCACTGACCGGCACCATCAACTATTACCGGGCCTTCAACAATGACAGTGACCAGTTCAGCAAAATTCCGTTCCGCAAGATAAACGTCACAACACTCATACTCTGGGGAGAACACGATGAATTCATAATGACGCGCGTCGCGTTCTACAACCAATACTGGCTGTCGAATTCAGTGGCCATCTACTACGAGGGAGCGGGACACTTCCCGCAACGAGAATGTCCCAATCACGTGATAGGCCGCATCCGTGAATTCGCGAAGCATGGAAACGTGTCGATACCCGAGGAGAATCGTTGGTGGTTGCAGAGGTACTGGCAAAGTAGAGACCACTGCCGCGAGTCCAGGAAACCACGGGGAACCTGGATACATCGGGCTCCGCCTTTTATTCCTGATAATGCGAAGCTACCCAAAGAAATGTTAGAATAAACTCGCATCTGCAAGAAACGTAATTCTGTGTACAACCAGGTCACTTATGAAGCTAGCTCGTCTCTGTATTTGCTCAAGGCCAGCCCTGGTTTTGTTTGCAATTACAGAAGCAAAATATGTCCGATAATACTGAGAGTAAAACGTATAATTGATAGCTTCTCTGTGATGTATTGTTATAATTAATTTTTTTCTGGCACTTATGAACGCTTGCATGCCTTCTCCCTCACAACAGTTCGCGTGACTGCTGGCTGCGCTAACACAATCGATGGTATAGAAAAATGGCCTAGCTGGTCCGGTACCAAACTGCATGCGCACGCACTGACGTCCAACCAAAGCCCATCCTAGGGCCTTCTGTTTTCTTAAGATGGCGGACATTTGTATATTTAAGCTTTTATGTTAGCATATTCAATTAGTTTTGACAATGCCTTTTATGCCAAACGCAAGTGTGATCAGTGCTCATTTTTGTCTTGGTGTTTTGTCCTTGTGTGTTTTAACGATGGAGCAGTTTAAAGGACTACGCTGTAGTTGTCTCTTTGGCGACATGCTGATCCCGTGGTGTAAACACACTAGTGAAGCATGCTTAACGTTTGGAAGACTAGCACAATAAAGAGTAGTTGGGCTCAAGATAAACACGTCAACGACAAACTGCGTTAACTACAGGACAAACAACGGAGACAGATATACTGTGGTTTGCGCTGTTTCTCTGTTACTTGAATATGTGCCGACCGGCTCAAATAAGCACTCTAGATAAACACAAGAAGAACACGGGCCAATCGATGCCACGCACATTATGCAGTCGTACAAGGGAAACTGGTCTATACTTTTTTTCTTTTTAATTGCGCTATAGTAATTTGAAGAGCTGTACCAACACGCTCAACTCGCCATTTAATCGCAAGCCATGCGGACCATTTTACTGAGACTATTACTCTGCGCTACTTACGTGTGAATTTCGCTGACATCCCAGCAATGAATATTGCGAATGATCTTACGCAAAGTGCTATTCTGGTAGACTAGCGCACTTTACGTATTTACGTATTACTCTTATCTGAGCTAGGCTGCAGTCTCATACACTTAGCTCTACATGTGAAGGGCGCTGTTATAGGCTATTGCCGTAGAGCAATGAAGCATCGTCCTAAGTAGTGCACTTGAACATCATTCAGAAACAATGAAGAAAGAGAGAAAACTGGCCTCTGTAGGCGTGCTCAATAGGACTCGTTGGTACATACTGATCGTAGTAAGTGTGTAGAGATGTTCTGAGTCAGAGCCGTGTCAGTGTCATCTTGTCTCTGTCCTGTTCCCGCGCTGTTTCTTCACACAAAATCAGATAAATGCTGCTAACTTGTTTTTGTGTTTGGCCCAGTACAGCGCTACTTAGTCAAAGCTTAGTGCGAACAAACTACCTCAATTTTTCATGTAGTTAAAACCACAACGTCCCCATTTTGTCGCATGAAGTTCGATTCTTGCTATTCGCCAGAAAGACAAAATGCATGCGGAATCGTCACTGTTCCGAAGTGTTGGGTGTTCGTGTTTAGACGTTCTAACCAGGCGGTGCGCTTGTAGCTTGAAAACTGTTTTGTTTCTGATCAGTCATGAATTACCGATTCCCAGCGGTTTAAAAAAACCGAATCTCATTAGTAGCTTCGAAACAAAAGCATTGGTTCACGCAAAACTTCCGTAAGGCAACAAGTGGAAATGACACGTGCCGGATATTTGAGTGATGAATGCGTCCTTAATAGATAAATCACAGTGCATTGCCTAAAACATATAGAAGTACAAAAAGTAGCTAAGAGTTTTTGTCTGCGTCTCTCATAATCATATAGTAGTTTAGGGACGTTAAACCCCACAAATCAATCAATCAATCAAAGAGCTTTTGTCTTACAAGCTAAATTGTTTGACATGACGAGGTTTATGTAGTAAGCGCTTATCTATTGTGGTATTCGTTGCGTGATGATGCGCTGTATGGGCGTAACCGAGAGGGCACTAACGAAAGAAAAGAAAAAGAAAAACACAACTGGACAATGTGGGTGTCCACTCTCCTACTTGAATGGCTGCGCGCCAACCTGGTCTGACTTCTTTCACTGCCTCCGTTAGTGTCACCCCCTGTTACCGCTAGGCAGCGCAATATTCCGCAACATACGTCCAACCTGGACCAACTAGCCGAAACGTAGTTCTTTATTGAGCTCATATATCGGCAGCACACGATGTGCGTGCCCTCGTAGGGGCGTCAGCACAGCACCACAATATCCTGCAAGAGAGACTTGCGGATGCACATCTCTTAATTTCTGGTATCATCGCTCAACAGAAGATGCCAGTGCTCACATTAACATGCAAATTGTTCACATGGCATCGACTGAAGAAAGAATTTACCTGATTCATGCAAACCTTGAAAAGTCTACTGATTCGTCGTTTTTACTAATGTGCTCAATGCGCAAATAACTGTATGAATAAAAGGCTTCCTAAAAATTCTGTTCTAGAAAAAAAAGAAAAACCTACAGCCTTAGGGTCTCCAGCTGTCACAATCGGCTTCGTAAGCACAAATTTTACACAATTTATTTCAGCGTTGACTTCAACGTGACGTCAGCCGCACGTGAATCTGGAGAGGGCTCAAAGCCAACCAATATGAATCTAAAATGAAGATGATGGGTATGGTGGCTGATCAAAAGCTTCGCTTCAAAATCTAATAGCGACTTGCCTGATATCACGCATTTCGTCAGATACTTCAAGCACTTTCTTTCTGTAGGCACAGTGATTCTGGTGACCACGATGAAATAAGTTGGCTTAAAAACATGAGTGCAGAACAGCTGCTATGCGCCTTGCAAGGTACACAATAATTCTGTCTTGTCCACACAGACAAGGCGCAAAGTGTGGCGCTTTTTTCTCACTATTTTGCTGAATGACTGAATGCGCTATGATATATTAAGCACGTAAACTCAGTGACGTTTGGGCGGATCAGTTGCCTGCTTGGTGTCCCAGAATGCGATTGAAGGAATACGATCTCTACCGCCATTAAGGATGCGTGAGGCATCGTAAAGCTCAGAAGGGGCTAAGTGCTTGAAGCCTACAGAGCTTGAGTGGAACAGACAATACTTTTTGTTCGTTAGTGGTTTTCATCTTGAAGACACCCTTCGCTAAAGGCAACTCTTCAATCAATGTTGTCGGAAATTTTCAACTAGAAAAGTGCGCTGTAAGATGTTTTTTTTTTGTAAATAGAGACATGGGTGGGGGGGGAAGAGCAGCCAGCATACGTTACATAAACACCTTTTGTATTTGCTCAGTAACTACAGAAAAACGAAATGTCATTTAAAGCAATGTTCATTCACTTATTCAAGCTCTTTGTTCTTGGTTCCATTTTGCAAGATTGTTCCTAAACAGTGTTGTAGCCAGTATCTAGCACACTGCGCCCCCCTATGAACCTCTCTCCCAAGTTTAGTTTCATCATTGTATACACGGTGAAAGATTATCATTTCGAAACGGTGCCCCAAAAATTTCTGCCTATGCCCTTATGTGGTACGGTAAGAAGAACTTTATTTAGAGATCCGGGTAAGTGTCACCTTTTAGGGCGACACCATGAGCCGCTTCCACGTGGGCATAGTTAGACCTAGCCTAACCACCTCATCGCAGGCTCTCTTGAAAGCCGAAAGCTGATGATGATATTTAGAGTGCTTGAGAGCTGAGCTCCGTTTCTGGTATGTTATGTACTGCTCTTATATTGAAATTTCCAGTCCTCCCATTCTACAAAATGCTCGCGAGCTGCATCCGTTTCCACAGCCACAGATAATTGATTATTACACGATTCCCAGTCCAAGATGTAGACCTTAATTCTCATATGCTAATTATTAAAAGTAGCATGAAGTTTTTTCTACACAGAACACTACGTATATTAGGTGCGAGACACCTTGGGAGCTATGCTCTTCGGCGCATGATGTCGTCACGGTGCACCATGTAGTCATGATCTATCATAAAAAATTAGCAGTGGCTAAGCTTGGCTATGCCAGGATATACGTAGCGTGTGCTGTGGACGATCGCATGAACGAACAAGTGGTGGATGGATAGACGGGTGAATGTACCCCGGTTGGGCGGATGGATGGACGAACCACCGACAAACGGACGAATGGATGTACCACGGATGAATAGATGGACAGACGTCGTAGCGAGTGAGCGATCTCACGTGAGTCACAAGCCAGCCCTCTAGTGACACGTCAGTTCAGGAGCTTCTGGGCCTTTTCGGGGCCACCCAATGAGCGCCGTGTGACGTGACTGCTCCTCGCACTTGCGCAGAAATGCTCATCGTAAACCCCGTAAGACTGCTCAACCTGTGTAGATTATGCTACAATAAGAATAGACGCCACAATGACTAACTCCCACTACTCGCCGCTGCTTTACTAAAAGAAAGAAGGGAACAGTTAGGCCAACCAATAGATGATGATGTTAGTAGAGCAGGAACATCCTTTCTTACATGCTGTAGAGAAGTGAAACCGCGCATATAGGAATGAAGTGGAACCGTAAGGTAAGCTGCATTCCAATACATTTTTCCGATGACGACAGTGGAACAGTCCCTGGCCTCAGGCTCGGCATCCACTTGTGCATCATAAAAGAAATCTTTCTGCAAATGTTGCATGCTCCGGCCCTCCACAGGTTTCATGTTAGTGGAGTTAAAACACCCATCTCCATGCGATGCGTCTCTCCCCAGTTTTTAACACCTTAGCGTTAAAGAGCTCATTTCGCACAAGGTCTGGCGTTGGCGTCAGTGTTGTCGTCGTGGATTGTGGGCAAAAAATAATCATCTTTACGTAAACAAGAAATCGAGAATGATGCGAATTGAATAAATGATAACACATCCTGGGTCAGAGTGGGGATCGAACCCGTGTTGTTTGTGTGGCAAGCGGATCTTCTCCCACACAGTCACGCGCCTGCTTTTGCATACAGTGAGAAGCGCAGCGAGAGTAGCTTTGATGCTTCACAAACAAGCGTGTCCTGTAAACATGTTTCACAATGCACCA